TTAAAGCAATGGGTTTCACGGTAATTTTATTCAAATTCGTTATTTAACAATTGTCGTCAGAAAATAAAATATCATTACAAAGATAAAAAGACATCCGATTAGTTCATCTGCTAAACGAAAAATGATCATTGGGATTTTCTCTTTAAATAAAGATTGTCCGGATTCCAAAATAATAGCATTATCCGGATTGACAAGTAGTAGCATTATAAGAATTGCATAAGTAATAGCATTGTTCGATTTGCACAAGCAACACCGTTATCCGGATTGCACAAATAGAATTAATGAGAGAAGCAGTGATCTGTATTTCATCACTTAACTGCAAATTTCAATAAATGAAGTGTTAATTAGCCAAAAGCAGATCTACGACATATTTTAATTGGTAATGAACAAATGAAACATTTTTTTATTGGGAAGTATTTGTAATGCAATTAGTTTATAATTTCTACTTGATTTTTTTTCGAATCAGTGACAAACATAAACCATTTTGCTAAAGGGCATGACAGACGGTGTGGCCATGTTGACACGTGCCAAAGAAAATTTAATGTTCACCATGAGCGCACTCTCGGAAGAACAACGAATTACGCTCTCTCAATCTAAACGAGAATTCATCGAAATGTGTTCATTCGATGGAAAAGAATGCAATATAGGTACCATTTGGTTCATATTTGGTTCATAATTGTATTATCGAGAAATTAATAGAAATATGAACTTATAAAATTCCTTCTTTTATATTTTTTTTCGAAATAAATTTATCAAACAGAAATAATATCATCGATGGTAACTTTTTCGAATGAATGCAAATAGTGCGCATTTACTTGTCATTAAAAATGTTAGAGAAACCGGAAAAGCAAGAATATTATAGATGCTGATTTCAAACTGCACGTTGATCCGGAATTCGGGAATTGTTATACATTTAATTGGAATGTAAATGATAATCGTTCAAGTAGTAAAGCTGGCCCAATGTACGGTTAGTAATACTGTTCTATCACTAATAAGTTTTCATAAATTTTCTAATGAGGACTGACTAATTGGGAAGATTAGAAAAAATATATTTTAGAAAAGAATGAATGTTTTATTATACATGATTGATATCAAAATGAATTTAATTATGGCAATAAAATTAATTTAAATTTAAGCATCCAAAATATGATTATTGTGACTCGATTTTAGGCAGTAAATAAATCTTTAAATCCATG